CGAATTCAACACCAGGTGTGGTGGTATACACCTTTGATCCCAGCACTCAGGAGGCAGAGGCAGGCAGATCTCTGTGAGTTCAAAGCCAGCCTGGCCTACGTAGCGAGTTCCAGATAGGCTGGGGCTACAGGGAGACCATATCTCAAAAAGACGCCCCCCTGCCCACCGGGCCAGAGAGATGGCTCAGCGGTTAAGAACACTGTTCTTGCAGAAGACCCGGGTTTGAATCCCAGCACCCACATGGCAGCTAACAACTGTCTGTAACTCCAGTTCCAGGGGATCCGACAGCTTCTTCTGTCCTCCGCAGACACTGCATGACACCAGTGCACTTACCTACATGCAGGCATAACATACATACACATAAAATAAAAATAATAAACAAGCCGGGCATGGTGGAACGTGCCTTTAATCCCAGCATTCGGGAGGCAGAGGCAGGCGAATCTCTGTGAGTTCAAGGCAAGCCTGGTCTACATAATGAGTTCCAGGACAGCTGGGGCGACAGGGAGACCCTATCTCAAAATAATAATAATAAATAAAATATTTTGGAAAAAAAGGACCCCCCCCTAAAGAATGACAAGGGTTCTAGGCATTCTTTCCTAGGAATGTATGACAAAGATCAATACTCATATACTTTGTTAGAGCACAAAGGCCAACTTTTATTCAGTCAATTCCCAAGTGTCCTCAAGTATTTGTTAATTCTGTATGACTTAAATGTGTACTTTCACTGGGGAACAGAGGACCCATGCTGGGCCTACACTGCTCCATTAGTCTGACTGGCCTTTCTCTGCTGCCATAGGAATAGGTGGTCTGCTTAGTCTTCAGAATGGAGAACCTGCACAGCCTCCCATCCTCAAATCCATCCTAGGTTCCTTACAGTCTGCCGTCTGCAATGAGGGGAACCACGGGAGCCTGGAACGGCCCTCACACCCACTCCCACCCTTCAGCCTCAGCTCGATCTTCCTTCATCTCAGGATAAAACTGTAAGATTCTCCATGTACATTTAAGCTTTTATTTATTTTTTTTATTTTATGTGTATGAGTGTTTTGCCTGCATGTATGTAAGCGCACTCGTGTCCTGCAGCACCAACCTGGGTCCTCTCTGCAAGAGCAGCCAGTGCTCTTAACCCTAGAGCTATCTCTCCACCCCCTCCATCTACATTTAAACCTCAGGTTTGGTGCAAGTGTAGACCCCAATCCATGAAGAGTTGGCCAAGAAAAGGTCAAATTTCCCACTTCGGATTTGCACTGCCCATAAAAATATTCTAGTACATTTTGAACACACCACATTTAAAAATCTAATCCTAATTTCCCCCCATGAAACTGCTCCTACTCTGGATTTTCCCTTCTGGACTCTCCCAGAAGTTCGAGTTAAAGGAAGATATGTGATGGGCCTTCACCCCCTTCTTTGCATTGGCTCACAAAAACAAAAAAAAAAGATTAAACAGAAAATTCTGTTTTATCCTCAATATCCATTGAAATTGAAGGTGGATAATCCCGTCTAGCTATCCAGGCCAGACTTCATTATAATTCTCTTGGAGTCTATTGCAGTACCCCCCTCACCGGTCCCCCTGTGCCCACCCTCCTGGATCTCCCGCCCCGTCTGTTTTCCACTAAGCTGCCGCAGAATACTTTGGAACTCTCACTCGGATCATGGTCTCCTTTTCTTCACAACCATCTTTAGTCCCCAGAAGCCTCAGAGTCGAGCTGCCATTGCACCGCGATGTCACACTTCTCTCTCCCTGCAGAGTAAGACCCCAGGTCTCCTGAGTGCTCCTGGGCTAATCCCACCTGAGCTTTCCAGATGTGCATTCCACCGCCTGCAAGGCGCCCACTTTTGAACACACTGCGTTGTCAAAAGCAGATTTTGAGGACCTTTAGGGACATGGACAGGCGACCCTCATCGGGGGTTTCAGTATTCAAAAAGGGCGCCAGGGGCCAGCACTCACGCGAGACGGTCTCATCAAGAGGGCAGCAGAGGCCATGGGCTCCGGTGTGGACTGGGAAGGCCCTGAGCATCAAGAAACAGCGCTGGAGACCACCGAGCAGCGCCCAGCCCAGCAGAGCCACGTTCCTGGGTAGCCTGGGTACCAGCCTGGAGAGCTGGAGCAAAACTCCCGTGAGTTAAACAGTCAAAAGCAACATTAGCAACCTGTGCGGGACAGACGCCGGAAGTCCCGCCCCGTGTGCAAGGGCCTACTCCCCTGGACCCTCAAGGAGCCAATGCTGATGGCTCGCCGCGCAAGGCACTCCGGGTAGTGTAGTTCTTATCCCTGAAGAGCCTGTGGGACAATTTGATGCTATGTATAGAATGAAGAATAATGCTCAGTAAGACAAATGCATACTATTTCTTAATCATGATTTAAGGGCTTTCTAATAATTATAGTAATTTAGATACTAAAATATGATTGTAAAAAGACCGTTGACTATTTCGAACAGACCCTAGCAGAAAATAATTTGAATCTATAGCCATAAAGAAAATAGATGAAGCCAGGCGTGGTGGCACAGGCCTTTAGTCCCAACACTTGGGAGGCAGAGGCATGCGGATCTCAGTTGGTTAAAAACCAGTCTGGTCTACATAGTGAGTTCCAGGCCAGCTGGGGCTTCAGGGAGACCCTGTCTCAAAAAGATCCCCCGAAAATGAAATAAATCATATTTCTCTTGGTGAAAGGCTGTGGAATGAACTTATTCTTTAATGTATGGATCATCTTTTCAGTACTTAACTACTCTTTGGGCTAGTTGTTTGTGGGCCCTGGGTTGTTTTCTTGTTAGATTTTTATATCGAAGTTTCACTTTCAGGACACAGATTACTAGAAATCATGTATCACATAAACATTCCGTTTTAACTTACTTTTTAAAATGTTTAACTGTGTTGACTTAAACTTCACTTTAGATTGAATAGTCACCCTAAAATGTGGCAAGATTTCACCAATATGTAAAGGCAGTGATTTCGTTGCAAGGTATGAAGGAGTAGAAATTTATCCTGAGAGGATCCCATAGGTTAGTACATCGCCCTCTCCTAAAGCCTTACTGTCTGTGTCAATTTGGTAGTACTCTTGATTTACAGTGACCATCCTGGTTTTGGATCTAGAGCAAAAGCAATTCAGGTGAGTGATAAGTCTTTTCAGTAGACAGTGCTAAAACAGTTGGATGTTTGCAAAGGCTTGCTGGTGTTTGCAGGGAGTGTTTGGCAGGCTGATGATGCAGGAGGCTCGCTAGCGTTCTGGGACTCAAGACTAGACTGGCAACATAGTAAGATCTTGTTAAAAAAAAATAAACAGAAGCACTTTATGATAAAATTAATTCAACTAGATCAAGTTCTTAAATATAAAACATATAATTATAGGATTTAAGTAAGATAAATAGAATATCCTTGGGACTAAGAACTATATTAGTAAAGATGATATAAAATAAATAACCTAACTTTTTACCTCAAAGCACTAGAAAAAGAAAAACAAAATAAGTCTAATGTTAACAAAGGAAAAGACAAAAAAAAAGAAATAATAAAAGCTGGTGTAGAGGGGCTGGAAAGATGGCTCAGCAGTTAAGAGCACCAGTTGCTCTTCCAGAGGACCCGGGTTCAATTCTCAACATTCAGATGGTGGCCAACAACTGCCCTTAACTCCAGTTCCAGGGGATCTGTCACCCTCTCTTCTGGCCTCCATGGGCACCAGGCAAGTACATAGTGTACTCACATGCCTTCAGATAAAACATTCATACACATTAAATAACAAAATAAAATATTTTTAAATTAGTATAGCAACAAATTAAACAAAAAATAGAAATACATTAGAAGTTGACAAGATTGAGCTGTGTATTGTTGGCAAGGCTAATGAAAACTCACCAATACTTAGCTAGACAAACCAGGCATAGAGAAGACTCAAATAAATTAAATATGAAATGGAAAACATTATATTTTATGTGACGTTTTGAGCAGGGGGTGAGATATGATTTCACTATATAGCCCTGGCTGGGTTGGAGCTCACTATTACTAACATATCTCAGGCTGCCCTTGAACTTAACAGTCATCCTCCTGCCTCTGCCTCCAGAGTGCTGGGATTAAGCAGGTTGCACCACTATACCTGGCTTATGTGGCTTTCTTTTGTCACTGTGACAAGATACCCAATAAAATCGCTTAAAGGAAGAAGGATTTATGCTGGTTTTCATCCATGGTCATGAGGTTCTATTTTTCTAAGCTTATACTGATGTACAATCATGTGGAAGGACATAGTGGAGGGAAACTGCTCACTTCATGCCAGCCAGGAAACAAAAAGAAAAAAGGGGCCAGAGACAGGATATACCCTTCAAAGGCACATCTCCAGAGACTTACTATCTCCAAATGTGCATCACTCTAATTACTAACATATCTCTAAAATAATTACAAATTTGATTTAGTAATTCTATAAATATTAAATTCTGAATTAAAATTAATAGTTAATTATTTTATTTAGTTTTACAATAGTCCATTTAATATGAACTCATCAGTGGATTCAACCCTGATGAGGTTAGAGCCCTTATAAGCCACTCATTTCTTAATAGTGCTACCAGCCAGGGACCAAGCCTCCAACACAGGAGTCTTTTGAGGGGATACCTGATATTTACACCAGACTGATATTATAGAAGTGATATTATAGAAGTGAAAAATAAAAATGGATTATTTGGACACATACAACAACAATTAAGACGATCTAGAAGTGGATCGATTCCTAGAAACATACAATCAAGACTAAATCTAGAAAACCTGAGTAGACCAAAAGCAGATAAGGTAGCTGGTGGTCACATCTTGATAATAAACTACAGCCCAGTGACTGTTTCCATGGACTTCAAGAGTGAACTGGAACTCAAATGCCATTGTTTGTAACCTCCTGGTCTTAAGTTGCTAGGAACAGAAGCATCAAAATGGAGTCACTAAATGGGTTTGGGGTTATCCCCCAGAGGATTATACTGCTGAATATGAAGGAGTCATAATAAGAATGAGTGTCCTGGGCTGGAAATGGCTCAGCAGTTAAGAGCACTGGCTGTTCTTGAAGAAGACCCAGGTTCGATTCCAAGCACCCACATGGCAGCTAACAATTGTCCTTAATTCCAGTTCCAGAGGATCTGACACCCTCTTCTGTCCTCCACGGGCAATACACAACATGGGTGCATTTACACACATGCAGGCATAACACTCATATACAAAAAATAAAAATAAATAATTTTTATAAAGAAGAGTGTCCTTTGACTAAATGGATGGATAGTGCTAGAAATTGAATAGATGCTCTCCAATTTTCTCTTTCTGAACATAGAGCTTCCTTTACTCTCAAATTAAGCCACAAAAGTAAGTCTAAGGCAATAGAATATAGGTAGATGTGTGAACTTAGGTCTTCATATTTTCCCTCCTCCCTCACTTGTGCTCCTTCCTAGGGATAGCTCCCCTTGGATCTCAGCTGCCTCTGTTTACAGGCCTCTTCAGGATTTACTGTTCTCTTTAGAGTACGTAGGTTTGAACCATAGACTGATGATAGAGTTGGATCCACATACACATACTTTAAACAGATTCCTAGATGATGCAACTGGCTTGGGAACCTCCCAGCCAATACAATGTAATGTTAATACAAGCAAGGTAATACTTCCTTTCTGCCCCCAAAGGTCTGAGAGGCAAGAAGTTTGGTTTCCATTAAAAAAAAAAAAAAAAAAAAAAAAAAAAAAAGAGGTCTCCTATTTCACAACTTTCAGGATTGAACTTTGAGTGAAATAACCAAGAAATGTGGCCTTGATTCCGACCTTGATCTCCTCCCTTAGAACCTTAGGGAACTGTTCCCTTTGAGGAAATGTTTGGCCATTGTCATGGAGACCAAGAAGGACCATCAAGCCTACCATGATTCACAATATATTACCCAGAAGGCAGTGTCTGTGCTGATCAGATGTCAAGGCAGGAGCATTCCTTTCCTGTGACTACTAGGATGGGGGCAGGACTTCAGGCAAAGCAACCTGGACGCCTGGACGCCTGTGAGCATGGCCCACATTTTATTTTACTTTTTACTGGACTTGATATGTAGGTTTATATGTGCTTAAAGGTTTTTCACCTGTATTATGATTATAGTTCTGTCATCTTTTTGTTGTACTCATTAAGGGTTTTTCCTAAAGGGTGTGTGTGTGTGTGTGTGTATAAATCAAAGAACAAATAGCCAGAGTTGGTTCTCTCCTACCATGTGGGTCCTAGGGATCAAATTCAGGTCATCGGGACTGGCAGAAAGTACCTTTACCCACTGAGCCATCTCACTGGCTAAGGGTTTTGGGGGGATTTTTTATGGTGTTTGTTTGTTTGTGTGCACATGCAGGTGTGGGGTGCTGAGGATGAATTCAAGGTCTGGTGCATGTTAAATACACTATACCTCTAAGCTGCCCCCCCAATAAATATTTCTTCTATTTTGTTTTTTGTTTCATTGTTTTGGTTTGGTGTTGAGACAGGACATCATATATCCCAGACAGCTTCAAACTTGCTATATAGCCAAGGATCACTCTGAACTTCTGATCCTCCTGCTTGCACCTCCCAAGTGCTAGGATTACAGGTCTGTGCCAGAAAAACTAGTTCACGAAATGCTGGGAACCAAACCCAGTAAGGGCAGTAATGCTCATAACTTCTGAACCACCTCTCCAGCCCTAAATATTAAGAAAATTTAAAACAATAACAGGAAACCAATTTTAAAAATAAGCACAAAATTGATGAGATAAATTGTGACAATGACAAACTGGTAACCTGGGGCTGGAGAGAAGGTTCAGTGGTTAGGAGCACAGGCTACGCTTGCAGAGGACCCAGGTTTGGTTCCTGGCACCCACATGACAGTAACAACCATCTGTAACTCCATTTCCAAGGGATCTGACACCCTCTTCTGACCTCCATGGGCATTGCACGACAACACAGGTTCACTTACATACATGCAGGCAATACACTCAAACATAAAATAAAAAATAATAAAATATTTTTTAAAAAAAGAACTGGTAATCTGATCTATTTCAGAAGGAAACACACAGCCTTTTAGAACAGACTTTGAGGACTGGAGAGGTGGCTCAGCAGGTAAGAGCATGTACTGCTCTTTCAGAGGACCAGTGTTTGAGTCCTAGCATTCATGTTGTGTGGCTGAAAACCATCTGTAACTCCAGCTCCAGGAAGGATCCAATG